GGGGGGGTCGTGCTGGAGGAGGGACAGGGTCCGGGGGGGGTCGTGCTGGAGGAGGGACAGGGTCCTGGGGGGGTCGTGCTGGAGGAGGAAGGGGGCTCCAGAGCAGGCTGCTGTTGAGAAGCACAGACTGACTTTTCCAAAAGAGAAAATTTGAGGACCTTTGTTAGAATAGCACACACAAGGATAACCGTAAGGATTTTTATTCAATGTTTTTAAAAAATCAATGTTATGTGATGTATATTAAAGAGATAAAATATTAGGAAATATGCTGAACATAAATCACTTATATATGACTTACACAAGTATGTATATATATTTAGCAATGGTTTTCCATTTCAGCAACAGAAAAAGGTATAAATACGAAACCCACACACATACGAACTTAAATTTTGTTTGCATATATTACACTATAAATACATATGTTCATTTTAAAAAGAGAAAGAAGGCCTGGATGCAGCCCGCACACGGCTCCTTCTGCTCACTGTCCACGGTTATCAGTCCTCCCCTGCGTGTCTGCAGAGCTTGACCAGACTTTGTCGGCTATCCCAGCCGTTCCGCCGGCCACGTGAGCGAGGAGTGGGGAGACCAGGGGGCCCCGGACAGAGGCACAGGCCTCGTTCTGTGTCCTATCCTGAAATCCCTCCATCACCTGCTGGTTGATCTCGCTCGCGGTGCCCCCAGAAACGGCAAGGCAGCTCACAATAGCAACAAACCCTTTTACGGGGGGTGTGAGCCAGCGGTGCCGAGCCACGTTTCCGGAGGGATGCCCGTCCACCCAACAGGAGCGCCCTCACCCCGTCTGGAGAGCCCCCGCTCTGACGGGCACTGATCTTGCTGCCTGAGGAAGGCAGGTGCCCACCCAGCACCAGGGCTCGGTCAGGCCTCATGTGTCATCTGGGCTGTGGCCCCGGCTCCACGCTCTCCCCCGGGCAGGAACACGAGGGTTGAGACAGATGCGCAGGGAGGGCAGTTCTAGGCGAGCAGAACCAGGCTGGTCGGGACAGCCCAACAGGCCGTTTCATGCTGGAGGCTGAAAGCAAAGGGAATCCATCCAGTACCTTGAACCCAAGGTCTTAAGTCCCCGCTGCCCCACCTCATCCCGCCACGCTTCAAGCACGTGGATAACTGGGGCGCCCCCACACCTTGCCCCACTCCAGAAAAGGCCCCAGACTCTGCATGGCCAGAGGAGGGGAGCCCGACTGACAGCAGAGATGCCCGCCGGCTCCGTGGCCCTCCTCCGTGGCCCGGGTGAGCCCCGTGTGGAGGGTGCCCACCGACATGGCTGCCCCGTGGGGGTGGGGGCTGTGCAGAACGGGCCAGCAGTGGAATTCAAGACGGTGCATGTGGGGAGCCGGCAGCCAGGAGACCTGGGTGGCTCGGCCCTTCTGTCGTGTAAGTGGGGCGGAAGCCACGAGCCCGACGGTGACATCAGCTGCCCCTCCCGTCACAGGACGTGGACGTGTCATCTACTTCGAGGGAGACGTGTGTGTGCGTGAAGCAGCCTCGGGCAGGAAAGGCCTGCCGCACAGATGTGACAGGTTCAGCTCAACAAACACTGACCTGCTCTGCATCTGCCTCTTCCAGGAGCTGCACAACTGGCCAGTGTCTGCCTTTTAGGAGATCCCGTCCACACAAGCCGGCGCGTCTGAGGGCCACGTACCAACACTCCAGATGTGCGTGGCCACCTTCAGGCCCGGCGGAAGGACGCCAAGCTCGGACCTGAAAACCGACGTCGACTGCTTTCAGTAAAAGGGGACCACTTGGCTCACGCTGTCGAGGAAGAGCAGAAACGCCAAATCACAGAGACGGGAGGCAGGGTGAGCGTCCGCCGCCGCCGAGCCCAGGTGCTCGGTGCCCCTCATCCTGTGACACGGCACGGCGCCTGCCTCTCTCCTGCCCTCCGCACGCCAAGCTCCCACCCCACGGAGGAGCAATCTGCCTCCTGGGCTGAGGTCAGCTGTCCCCTGTCCGGGCTTCCAGCTAAAGCCTATCCACCCAGGACCCACCGGAGACCCTCGGCCAGGTAAGGCACGCAGCAGCCCCATCAAAGGAACATGTTCGGCAGGAGAGGGCCGGCCATGTTCTCAAGGACAAGTGCTGGCCTGCAAGAAAGGGGTGTTTAGGGCAAGAAGAACAGTCAACGTCTACTGCACTAGGCATGGGGCCCAGACTCGGAGGTCAGAGGGGCCCCACCCAGGGAAGGGGAGCCCAGCTGGGTCTTCTTGGTCTCCATGGACGGCTTCCTGCAGGCTGGGTCCCGCTGACCCTCTCCCGCCAACCCCTGCCTCCTGTGTGAGGACCCCTGTTAGCGACAGGAAAGTCTAAGTCTCGGGACTGCTGCGTTACATCCGACACTTGCCACAATTCTTACTCGTTCATGCGTTTAACAGCTATTTACTTGGTGCTGGTCACGCTAGGACATGTGCAAGGAAGACCCGCTCCTGGAAGCTGTTCTGGGCAACGAGGAAGCCAGCTAGGTCCCCCCACAGGGCGGGAGGGGCGGCCGTCTGCTTGGCGGCCCGGAGTGACCCCACACCGTCTCCTGGCCCCTGGCGTGGGTGTCTGGCGGCGGCGGCTGGGGTTAATCTTCTGTGGCTTCTGGTGGGAAATGTGTCCTCCTGACGGCATCCAAGAGCAAAGACACCCAGAGGGCACAGCATCCAAGGGCAAAGACTCCCAGAGGGCACAGGCATGGAGCCGCTGAGCTTCTCCCCTGTGACTCTGACAAATACCCTCTTTGGCTGTGACCCCAGCAGCCGGAACTTCACGACGGAATTGATTTTGAGTCTGGTTTTAAGTATTAAAACGGTGTCCCCGGTGGAGGAGCTCAGCCGAGGCCCACAGGAGAGGCGCACTCTCAGCCCCTGGGGGGCACGTCCTCTCTAGCACATCAAGAGGACCAGACAGCCGGTCGCTCCCTCCGGGAGCTGTTGGAGGTCGGGGTGCAGAGACCCCCAGCACGGCACACTCACTGGGAGTCCTGCAGGAGGAGGGCCCGGCCCCCTCACGGCACCAAGTGCGTGCAGCCAGCCGGCCTGGGGCTCTGTGGTCGGGGAGCTGCCCACCCACCTGACCAGTGAGCCTGTGAGCTCCTAACAGTTTTCCAGAAAGCTCCCTCTCATTTAATGTGGTCACTTGTGAAAACTTTGCCTGGAAATTGGGCGGGGCCGGGGGCTGGGGGCGTCCTGCGTATGGTAACTGCTGCCTGGCTGCCCGGCTGCCCTCGGGTGCCCAGCCACTCTCCTCCTTCAGGAAACGCAGCTCTGCAGTCGGTGCATCATCATGGACTCTCCCCAGCCTGTTCTTGAGCGGGACCACATTTCCAGACGCGTCTGGGAAAACGTCCAGCGATGGGCCGGGAGTTGGCGAGCAGCGTCTGCTGGTCTCCGGGCTTGAGGGCGCCGACCGGGCGCCAGTTCCAGGCCTGGCCACCTCGAGAGCACAGACAAAAGGCAGGACAGCAGCGAGGGACTCCTCAGTCTCCTGCTTCACCATTTAGGTCGTAAGCTGCGGAAGTTAATTTCTAACAACGGCCGGTAATGACCGCCTTGCTGCGGCATTGGCCCCGCAGCCGTGGGACCCCGCTGCCTGCCCCGAGCAGATATTAAGTGAGCCAAGGCTCTCCGTCCACACGGTCATGCTGCCTGTTCTGCTCACGGCTGGCCTCTCCAGCCTCTTGGGGTCCTGCCTTCTTTTGATAGAAGCGAATACATGTCAAGGGCAGACTTCGGAGGCGGGAGCATGGACGGCTCTGGATGGGCCCCCCGGGGTCTCATGACGCAGAGAATCTAATCTAACTGTGTGGTCCCAGCAGCACCTGGGGCCTGGCATCTCCCACAGGCTCAGACCCTGGGGGCTGCACAACCCTTTTGCGCTGAGGCCTGAGGGCCCGTGGCTACCCGGCTCATGTTTCCACTCACCGGCCCTGCCCTCCCCTTCCCTCCACCCCGTGTGCCCAGCCTGCATCTCTTCTTACTCACACCGATCTTCAGCTGTCTCCCGAATGCCCGCCAGCACACACACACGTAGCAAACCGCAAGGATGATGAGAACTCCCCGGGCAACAGCCCGGGGACTGCTGTAATTGGGTCTGAATCTTGCTGGCCTTCTGGAACCGGTTTTCACAGCACATGGCCAGGCCAGTGCCTGGCCCGGCGTTTAGCCAATTAGCCAGCATCCCTGGTTTCGGAAGTGAGCAAACAGACCCACTGAACACAACACAACACAATGTCACAAACCAGAACCACTTCAAGCCTCCGTTTGCCGAGGAAGCACCGATCTCTGGGCCGGCTGCTCGGCCCCAGTGAGGGGCCCTGGCTCTCCAGCAGCTCAGCTCCCCAGGGAAGCTTCTCCTCAACCAGCTTCCCAGCTGCCGTCCTGGGGCCCACAGGCCCACAAGCTCTTCCTCTGACCCGACACTAGCCTTTCCTGGGCACTGCCCCAGCTCACGCCGGGCTGCCTTCTGCCCGAGCTGAGATGAGCTTGGTCAGCGGCAAGCAGGCTAGGACCCTTGTGCGTCCCCCCCTCCACACCACCCCCCACCCGCCCCCGGGGGCAGACCGAGCAGAACTGGCCTCCTGCACTCCCTGGTTCAGGTATCTTCATTACCGATAAACGATGTTTCCGCCCTGAGAGGGGAGGGACCTTGAGGGGCCTGGGGGGGGGGGGCACAAAGGACGCACCCCTGCCACCAGGCTCTGGGCTGCGCTGGGGGTGTGGCCTCTCCCAGCACCCCTGCTGTGGTGAGGACGTTCTGGGAAGTTCTAAAGCGCCACCGGCTCTATGTGGAAGGAGTGCAGGGCCCCAGCTCCGGAGGGAGCTTCTCCCTCTGCTTGCGCTTCCCAACTTCGTCTTCCCCAAGACCTGCTCTCGCTCTCCAACCGGTGGGCCGCAGTACTTCCTTCGAAAATCCAAATTTTCAGTTTTATAACTTGGCCAGAGATCCAATTGAGAAAAAAGAAAACAGTTTTTGAGAAAGAAGGAAAATTCAGAGCTAGCAGCCTGTGGCATTTCTCTCGACAGTGGGGTTTCTCCAATTGCTCTGGCGATCTTAGGAGCTCCTGCCAGCGGCGTCTGGGGAGGACTCGGGCGCCCCCCGATCACTGCGCTCTACCTGCTCGGAAACCGTGGGGTATCTTTTTATTTTTGGTTCTGGTAATCTCTGGCTCGTGGGTGTTGAGAGATGGGGGATTTTCCAGTCCTTCCAGAGCAAATACAGGAAACTAAGTGAGCAGGGAAACCATTCAAATTCCGGGCCTCTGCCTTTCAAGCCTCTGCGACACCGTGACTGTTCCCTAAATAATGTTTCCAGAACTGCGTGTTGACCAAGGGACGGAATCAGCCAGGGCCTGTTCCCTGGACGCCGTGGGATGCCCTGCGGGGACCGCAGACCCTGAAGGTGGGGCAGTCCCTCCCGTAGCTGCTGAACCTACTGGCAAATGCCCGGCATGGGAGGGGTCCCTGAGGACTCCCCGCCAGAGACGAAAGGAGCAGACAGACGAGACGTTCATGGCCAATCTGAGCAAAACGACACTTTCCCAGAAGTCTCCCCTTCAAAGCACGGTCATGTATTGGATGATGTGGTTCCAAGTCAGCCTGGGTGTGCAGCTGCCAGCGATGGGGGCAGGCCCACCCACTCCCCTCACCTCTGCTTCAAACCTGAGTCCCCACCCAGGGGGTCTCTGTGGGAACAAGCCCCACTGGAGGTGAAGTGCCCTGCACAGCACCCAGGACGCTGGGCCATCTTTACCCAAGGCTCGGGGCCCCGTCCAGCATCGCCCGCGACCTGCGGCCGAGCACAGAGCTGGGCTTCCGACCCAGCAGGGTGTCCCCCCGGGTCCCAACCCCGCAGGACAGGTCCTCCGGCAGCCCCGCGTGTGCCTGTGCCCCCCAGTGCCAGCTTCCAGCTCAGAACATTCTAACAACTCTGCCTCCTAGGGCTGGCATAATGAAAACAATAGTTTTTGTTTTGCTTTGTTTTCTGTGCACTGTGCTTTTTCAGCCCTCCTGGGTCTAAACTCAGCATCCAGCAAGGATGCAATGACAGGGAAGCCTGACCCTGAACCCTCTGTCTCCCTCGAGCTGCTAGGACACCGGAGGGACAGTCGCAGAAAGGGCTCCCCACTCGAAGAGCCCCCCTCCTCGGCCAATCGTCACCTGGCAAACTGGGCCGCATAATGGGAGAAAGGAGAGCGTGCACGCTAGGGACACAGGACTTTCTGAGGCTGACAAGACCGTTAGAAGTCACCAGGGATCATCAGAAAAATGTGCAGGTAGAGTGCCAGGTACATCTGGAAAACAGGTTAGAGCAGAGTCAGCAAATTCGTACGAGTGAGGGTCACAAAGAGGAAGGCAAGTCCCGTGTCAGAAGAGAACACTGAGCGGAGACCATGTTCCCCACAAACTGACCTCCCTTCCCCTTGCTTGGCCCAGATAAATGCCTCTGGAATCCAGCCATGACTGCATCACTTCCTGTGGAGCTCAGTGCCATTCCTTCATCCCTTCGAAGAACTCTGTGCTCCTGCCAAGCGCCAGTCTCCACGGATTGGGGGTGACAGATGCAGGCCCACCTGGAGGAACGAGACACTGAACCAATGAGAGTATGTAGCAAAGGGGAGTGCATTACGATGGCCTGCCCGCCGCCCCATCACACCTGCCCGCAGTCACACCTGCCCACCGCCCCATCACACCTGCCCACACAGTCACACCTGCCCACCGCCCCATCACACCTGCCCGCACAGTCACACCTGCCCACCGCCCCATCACACCTGTCTGCACAGTCACACCTGCCCCCGCTGCCCCATCACACCTGCCCGCAGTCACACCTGCCCGCCTGCCGCATCACACCTGTCTGCAGTCACACCTGCCCGCCTGCCCCATCACACCTGTCTGCACAGTCACACCTGCCCGCCGCCCCATCACACCTGCCCGCAGTCACACCTGCCTGCCTGCCGCATCACACCTGTCCGCACAGTCACACCTGCCCGCCACCCCATCACACCTGCCCGCAGTCACACCTGCCCGCCTGCCGCATCACACCTGTCCGCAAAGTCACACCTGCCCCCGCTGCCCCATCACACCTGCCAGCACAGTCACACCTGCCCGCCTGCCGCATCACACCTGTCCGCAAAGTCACACCTGCCCCTGCTGCCGCATCACACCTGTCTGCACAGTCACACCTGCCCGCCTGCCCCATCACACCTGTCTGCACAGTCACACCTGCCCGCCGCCCCATCACACCTGCCCGCAGACACACCTGCCCGCCTGCCGCATCACACCTGTCCGCAAAGTCACACCTGCCCCC